ATACAAAAAACAATTAACAATTATAATACAATAAATTAAACATTATTTCGAACATTTTACATACATTATTTTACACGTCTGCGCTTTTTGACGTGGAGATTGTTACTGAGGTTGTTTGACTGTTTAAGAGGTGTCTGTACAAGTGAGCGCAATTTTCTGTGTCTGTCTTGTAGTTTAGTCGTTTGTAGGTTGGTGTGTTAATTATGTGTAGCATTTCCAATGTGTGTCGCTTGTTATAGTGTTGTTCTTGTTGTAAGATTGTTGTTTCATCAAAATTTGGTGTGTGGTTGCTTCTTATACAATGGGTCATAAGTGCTGTTTTCTGTATATTATTTTGATGTCTTAGTTTGAAGTCCGATTTATGTTGACTAATCCTTGTTTTTAGCTTCGATTTTGTTGTACCTATGTAGACACTATTGCACTTGTTGTTGTTATCCCCGCCACATGGTATTTGGTAAACGACGTTGCTTTTTTCGATCATCGGGATTTTCGACTTTATCTTGTTGAAGAATTTTTGTAATGTATTCGTCGGTTTGTGTGCTACTTTTATATCTTGTTTGTTATAACAGTCTGAGTTTGTGAGGCGTTCTGATAGTCGTGGTACATATATTAGTGAAAATGGACCAAATTAGAAGAGCACACGAATATACCGAAACAACTATTTATGGACATAGTTAGATTTTGCATACAGGAAAACAGATATTTCAAATACGAAGACAAAATATACACACAACTTAAGGGAATGCCAATGGGATCACCGGCTTCCCCAGTAATCGCAGATATATTAATGGAGGAACTGTTGGACAAGATTACAGATAAATTAAAAATAAAACCAAGACTCTTGACCAAATATGTAGATGACCTTTTTGCCATAACGAACAAAATAGACGTGGAAAATATTCTAAAAGAATTGAATTCCTTCCACAAACAGATAAAATTTACAATGGAATTAGAAAAGGACGGGAAATTACCATTTTTAGACTCTATTGTAAGCAGAATGGACAACACACTCAAAATAAAGTGGTATAGGAAACCCATAGCCTCCGGACGAATACTCAACTTCAATTCAAACCACCCAAAGAGTATGATAATCAATACAGCACTAGGCTGTATGAATAGAATGATGAAAATATCGGACACAATATACCACAAAGAAATTGAACATGAAATCAAAGAACTTTTGACCAAAAATGACTTCCCCCCAAATATAATCAAAACATTATTAAAAAGACGACAAATCGAAAGAAAAAAGCCAACAGAACCTGCTAAAATATACAAATCACTAATATATGTACCACGACTATCAGAACGCCTCACAAACTCAGACTGTTATAACAAACAAGATATAAAAGTAGCACACAAACCGACGAATACATTACAAAAATTCTTCAACAAGATAAAGTCGAAAATCCCGATGATCGAAAAAAGCAACGTCGTTTACCAAATACCATGTGGCGGGGATAACAACAACAAGTGCAATAGTGTCTACATAGGTACAACAAAATCGAAGCTAAAAACAAGGATTAGTCAACATAAATCGGACTTCAAACTAAGACATCAAAATAATATACAGAAAACAGCACTTATGACCCATTGTATAAGAAGCAACCACACACCAAATTTTGATGAAACAACAATCTTACAACAAGAACAACACTATAACAAGCGACACACATTGGAAATGCTACACATAATTAACACACCAACCTACAAACGACTAAACTACAAGACAGACACAGAAAATTGCGCTCACTTGTACAGACACCTCTTAAACAGTCAAACAACCTCAGTAACAATCTCCACGTCAAAAAGCGCAGACGTGTAAAATAATGTATGTAAAATGTTCGAAATAATGTTTAATTTATTGTATTATAATTGTTAATTGTTTTTTGTATCTTGGTGTTAGTGCCCTGAAGACGGTTTGCCGATGTGCAACCGAAATATATCGGAAGAGAATTGAATAAAATTGTTTTTCATTGTTTGTTTTAACAAACACGGACCTCGAGCCAGCCAACAAATAAATATTGAAATATGGAAAGGTCGCCAGAGCCATCAATAAATATCAACGGAAGGCACGCCGTATGCACAGCAACCAACATGAGCTACGCAAAAATAAAAACTAAATACAAGGATTCGAAAAGAACAATTAATAAATTCCAACTAACACTGGTAAAATTAACTAAACTTAAATCTAGTTTAAAATTTTTGTTAAAATGTAGAAAATCAAATTTAATACCTAACTTCATCAAAAACTTGACACAGCATTTGACCATACTGACCACTGACAATAAAACCCACCCTGACATAACAAGAACATTGACTAGACACACACATTTTTACCATACCAAAATATTAAACTTACTTATAAAACACAAACACAACCTATTACAAGAACAAACAAAACATATGGAAAAAGCAAAAACAAACATAGAACAACTGATGACCACAGATGACGCAAAAGCGTTTTTTGAGAGCGAGAGAAATATAGAAAACAAAATAACAACAACACTCAAGAAAAGACAAGAAACGAAACACGATAAGTTACGAGATCAACGGAACCTAGCCTTAGCGGATAACAACACGCAAAGAGAGTGGTTTGTAAACAAAACAAAAATAGAATTCCCGCCAAACGTCGTAGCGTTACTCGCAAAAGGGCCGAAGTTCGCTCTCCCAATCAGCAAGAGAGATTTTCCTCTCTTGAAATACATCGCAGACGGTGAGGAGCTAGTGCAAACAATAAAAGAAAAGGAAACACAAGAGTCGGCGCGCACAAAATTCTCTTTGTTAGTCAAAGAGCATAAAACCAAGAACAACCAAAACAGTAGGGATCGAGCAATACTGGACACAGTGGAACAGACACGAAAATTACTGAAAGAAAATATAAATATTAAAATTCTATCGTCGGATAAGGGCAACAAAACCGTAGCAATGGATGAGGATGAATATAAAAATAAAATGACAAATATTTTAGACGACTTATGCGCGTATAGAACATTGAGACTGGATCCGACATCAAGACTACAGACAAAGAATAACACCTTCGTAGCACAATTATTCAAGATGGGTCTTATTTCAAAGGACGAAAGAAATAAGATGACTACAACAACAGCGGTACCTCCGAGGATATATGGACTACCAAAAATACACAAGGAAGGAACTCCACTGAGACCAATATGTTCTTCCATAGGATCTCCATCTTACGGGCTGTGCAAATATATAATACAAATATTAAAAAATCTGACAATGGACTCTAGGTACAACATCAAGAACGCGGTAGATTTTAAAGACAGAGTCAACAACTCCCAGATTAGAGAAGAGGAAACATTAGTATCTTTTGACGTAGTATCCTTATTTCCCAGCATACCAATAGAATTAGCACTTGACACAATAAGACAAAAATGGACCAAATTAGAAGAGCACACGAATATACCGAAACAACTATTTATGGACATAGTTAGATTTTGCATACAGGAAAACAGATATTTCAAATACGAAGACAAAATATACACACAACTTAAGGGAATGCCAATGGGATCACCGGCTTCCCCAGTAATCGCAGATATATTAATGGAGGAACTGTTGGACAAGATTACAGATAAATTAAAAATAAAACCAAGACTCTTGACCAAATATGTAGATGACCTTTTTGCCATAACGAACAAAATAGACGTGGAAAATATTCTAAAAGAATTGAATTCCTTCCACAAACAGATAAAATTTACAATGGAATTAGAAAAGGACGGGAAATTACCATTTTTAGACTCTATTGTAAGCAGAATGGACAACACACTCAAAATAAAGTGGTATAGGAAACCCATAGCCTCCGGACGAATACTCAACTTCAATTCAAACCACCCAAAGAGTATGATAATCAATACAGCACTAGGCTGTATGAATAGAATGATGAAAATATCGGACACAATATACCACAAAGAAATTGAACATGAAATCAAAGAACTTTTGACCAAAAATGACTTCCCCCCAAATATAATCAAAACATTATTAAAAAGACGACAAATCGAAAGAAAAAAGCCAACAGAACCTGCTAAAATATACAAATCACTAATATATGTACCACGACTATCAGAACGCCTCACAAACTCAGACTGTTATAACAAACAAGATATAAAAGTAGCACACAAACCGACGAATACATTACAAAAATTCTTCAACAAGATAAAGTCGAAAATCCCGATGATCGAAAAAAGCAACGTCGTTTACCAAATACCATGTGGCGGGGATAACAACAACAAGTGCAATAGTGTCTACATAGGTACAACAAAATCGAAGCTAAAAACAAGGATTAGTCAACATAAATCGGACTTCAAACTAAGACATCAAAATAATATACAGAAAACAGCACGTATGACCCATTGTATAAGAAGCAACCACACACCAAATTTTGATGAAACAACAATCTTACAACAAGAACAACACTATAACAAGCGACACACATTGGAAATGCTACACATAATTAACACACCAACCTACAAACGACTAAACTACAAGACAGACACAGAAAATTGCGCTCACTTGTACAGACACCTCTTAAACAGTCAAACAACCTCAGTAACAATCTCCACGTCAAAAAGCGCAGACGTGTAAAATAATGTATGTAAAATGTTCGAAATAATGTTTAATTTATTGTATTATAATTGTTAATTGTTTTTTGTATCTTGGTGTTAGTGCCCTGAAGACGGTTTGCCGATGTGCAACCGAAATATATCGGAAGAGAATTGAATAAAATTGTTTTTCATTGTTTGTTTTAACAAACACGGACCTCGAGCCAGCCAACAAATAAATATTGATATAAAAATAATTGTAGCTTCGATTTTGAGCAGCATCTGTACTTCGGCGCGCACGAAGTTTTTGTCCGTAGATTATTTTTGATCAAACTCATTTACTTAACAAATATTTGTTTATAATTTCATATACTTTGGTGTTTGTGTCCGCCATTATATCCACCATGTATACGAATCGTCATCGATCAATTTATGCAGATTCGAAATAGCGATCTTTGTACTGATTTTTCTAAATATGCTTACCATGGGCATTGAGCACTACGATCAGCCCCATGCCGTATTCTTTATATTGGAAGTGAGCAATGCATTTTTCACCACGGTCTTTGGGCTCGGTAAGTGCGAATACCCTTAATCCATCCATTTGGCATACTTTTATATGCTACAATGTAAATGTTTTCACAGAGGCCATCGTTAAGATTGTGGGGCTGCGTTATCATTACTTCACGGTGCCTTGGAATGTGTTTGACTTCCTGCTGGTGCTGGCCTCCATCTTCGGCATACTCATGGAGGACATTATGATTGATTTGCCCATCAGCCCGACACTGTTGCGTGTGGTGCGCGTCTTTCGTATTGGACGCATCCTGCGACTGATCAAGGCTGCCAAGGGCATACGCAAGTTGCTGTTCGCTTTGGTCGTTTCGCTGCCGGCGCTCTTCAATATTGGCGCCCTGCTTGGGCTGATAACATTCATCTATGCCATACTGGGCATGTCACTGTTCGGACATGTGAAGCTGCAGGGCGCCCTGGATGATATGGTAAACTTTCAGACATTTGGGCGCAGCATGCAGCTGTTGTTTCGCCTGATGACCTCGGCGGGCTGGAACGATGTACTGGAGTCGCTGATGATACAGCCGCCGGTCTGTGATCCGTTCTTCAATAGGCAGACGAATGGCGACTGCGGCCATCCACTGCTGGCGATTACCTACTTTACGAGCTTCATTATAATCAGTTATATGATTGTGATTAACATGTACATTGCCATCATTCTGGAGAATTTCAATCAGGCGCATCAGGAGGAGGAGATTGGCATTGTTGAAGATGACTTGGAAATGTTTTACATACGTTGGTCCAAGTAAGCTACTTGCCAAATGTTCGCGAGCCGGCTCTAACCATTAAGACGGTGTGAATCATTGACCTGATTTTCAATTGATTTCGTTTCAGATATGATCCACATGCCACCCAATTTATACACTTCTCGCAACTGTCCGATTTTATTGCCTCACTCGATCCACCATTGGGCATCTCGAAGCCCAATAATGTCGCTTTAGTGTCATTTAATCTGCCCATCTCTAAGGGCAATAAAATACACTGTCTCGACATTTTGCACGCGCTAGTTAAGCACGTGCTAGGTCATGTCGAGGAGACCGATAACTTCAAACAGTTGCAGGAACAAATGGATGTCAAGTTCAAGAAACAGTTTCCAACACGCAAAGAATTGGAAATTGTTTCGTCGACGCGGATCTGGAAGCGCCAGGAAAAGGCAGCCAAGACCATACAGACCGGCTGGAAAGACTATTTGCGGTACTAACAATAACAGCAGCTAGTTAACCTATATGTATTATAAATATAAAATTCATGATCTCACTGTTCTTTCACAGTCGCAAGCTGGAAAAGGAACGTTCCAATTCTGGCGACAGCGCAACGCAAACATCCAGCCCTGGCGGCTGGCAATCGAAGCTCTCCGCGCTCAATTTCTTCCATCTGCAGGTGAGTAATGTGCTTGGGCATCTAAAATATTGTCGTTACTAATTCCCCTCCTTTTTTGCTCAGGTGAGTCGTCGCGGCACAGCCTGCTCCAGTCGCGCCTCCTCACGCAAATCTTCACGTGCCTCGGATGGCTCCGATCTCAGCGAGCTGGCCGGACCCTGGCTTAATCTGCCGCTTATGCTTGTCTCGGGCGCCGATGATGTGGTCAAGGATATCAAACAGCAGAGCGACGAGCTGGGCAAACGGTATTTAAACTCATCCATACACACACACAAAAACACACACACACACACGCATAATTATTCATATGCGTGTTTCGAAATGCAATTTTTAGACGAAAGGCTTTCACAATCATGAACAGCAAACAGCAACATCGATCAAAAAATGAAATTCTAACGTACTCTGTGTTCCACAATATATATGAACTTGAGCCCTATTTTTAGCATATCCTCTTGTATCTCCCTAAACTATGAGTCCTTGCTCGCCGATATGGTCACAGCCGTTTTAAGAAGTGGCTCCCAGCCGAATGGCTTAAATTATTTAGGTAAAGGCAATGCTCATACCAGTTGGCTAACAACAACTATAACAACAATAACAAAAACAACAAACAAAACTACAATAGCAATCTCTCAATTTTGCTTTTAAGTTCTCTTCAATAACTCGCCGCCACCAGCTCACTCGCATATAAATCTCTCTCTCTCTCTCTATATATATATATAACGTATATGATAATAATATTTACCCAGTACTCGTACAAGTCGACTTATAGTTAGTTTCTACATCCAAATCGCGCCTCATTCAGCAAAGCAAAACCAAAACAAATCGATTCCAAAAGTTAAATATAAACAGTTTCTCTCATTGCTGCAAATGCTCTATAAACGAACTCTACTTTTACAATAACTAAAAAACTATTTGAAGTTCTAGTTCTGAAATTATCAAATTTATAATTTGTAAGTAGTGCTCTCTAAGCGAAATTCGTTCGTAAAATTCTCTCTGAATCAAAAAAAAATAAATAAATAAATTTGTTGAATGTTTTGATTTTAGTTAGTTATCTTCTGAGTTGCCTAGCCGCTGCTTGCCCTTTAAGATCTGTCACGATTATCATTATAAATTATATAGTTTATTCCTTTAATGTAGCAGCATTTCATTCCTACCAAAAAACACGCCTATAAAAATTATCATCAGCGATCTTTGAAGCCAGAGAACACTTCAAATATCGCTTCCAAAAAAAAATCAAAATAAAAAAAAACCCCACACCAAATTGAGCAATCCAACTGTATACACTATCTACCACATATCCTGTATTATAAGAATGTACAGCTTATTAAATTGCAGCTTTTTTGTACAGTTCTATGACAACTTGAATCCGTAATTTCGTCAAAAAATTGCAAAGATACAGAGTATTTTTGACACGTATCTGTATCCTATTATCTGTCATAATTATCTATATATTCTACAGTTTCTAATTACGAATGAATATCAATTAAAATTTATGGTTTTCTTTTCTATCGATTATCATTTCAAATTACTATCATTAGCGGTAGCATATTTGTGGAAGCGCCTAGAGCAAATCGTCGCCGAAGCTTTTATAATTTCTTTTTGCGTCATCAGGATGCTGTCGATGACAGCTTAACCTCACCTTCAGTACATAGAAAAAGTAATTATTGACAAGTGCCTTAAACACAGCCAACAAATCCACTCAATCAAACTATCTATCACAATCAATCAATCACACAATCAATGTTTGTGTATATATTCTCTTGTACATAGCCGCCAACATAGACTGCACCAACAATTAATTATATATTATCTATGCGCACATACGTCTAACATATACTCAGTATATAAATTTATATATGAATCATTCTCATGTGGCTTTTAAGTCTCTCTCTCTATCTAACTCGAGTCTTTATCATTGTGATAATCGCACATCAAACGTTGCTTTTGCCAATCAAATCTCATCGTTGTACAGACACCTGCAATTTATTAATCGTTTACCTCATGACATACTCTTTCAATACCATCACTTTTACTTACGTGAATACTACTTACTTTTTACGTACACTTCCCTTAAGATCTTACTACTTACCAACTAAATTCCCAATACTCACTAATTACTAAACCACTTACTTTATTACTTATTATACTAATAACTTCTTACTGATTATATACTGACTACTGAACCATTTATATACAAATTATTGACTCTACTTGCTGCTTACTACATATTGACTACGACTATTTACTACCTTTTGAATATTGCTACTATTTACTCATTGCTTATTACTTATTACTCATTCCTTACTATTGACCACTTACATACTACTGACCACTTACATACCACTTATTGCATATACGCCGAGTACTTGCTATATACCGACTACTCCCTACTATTTACTACCTATTTGGTACCTTCTTACTATAACGGATCTACTACATGCTCACATACTCTCTACATACCTACTACTTATTACCCATTACATACTACTTATCTCCTACTTACCTACTACTCATCTACTTATCTACTACTTATCTACTACTTACTACTTACCTGCTACTCACATACTATTTACTACTCTATTAATCCCTATTTGAATAAACTTTGATCTTTGCCCCGTATGACACATTCCTTTTGTATACTGTGCTAATCACAATTGTTTGTCACTAATGCGAGCATTTCACCAACAACAGCTGCAATGAACACCAACAACACCACAACCTCAACCTCCACATCCGCCTCTGCCTCCGCCTCCGTCTCTGCTAGCGCCACCAACGTTGAATGTGACAAGCAAACGCAACACCAACACCAACAACCGGTGGCGCCAACTCCAACGCGTAAGCGCGCGTCTAGTTTTATACGCAAGAAACCGCCCCTAGAAAGAGGTTTGTCAGCACAAAGCGCTTTAAGAGTTAACAAGAACGCTTATGTCTGTATGTGTGAACCGTTACCCTATACCCTGGAGCAGTCTGACTTATGTGTTTCCCTGTTTTGCACCCTTACAGCGGAGGCCCCAGCACCGGAGGTGATTGTGACGAAGCCATCGCCGGAGCAGCAAACGCATCCGCACGTGCATGCACTCGGCCTGCGGCCGGACAATGCGACGCTGGTGCATGTGCTGGTGCATCGCGAGAGCGAGGAGTACAAGGAGGAGGACGAGTGTAGCCTATCGTCGCCTGGCCATGGCTCGACAAACGGCAATGGTCATGAGAAGCCAAAACCTCCGCAAATACGCATCAGCACAGGCTCATCCGAGAGCGCAATGGACAGCAGCTTAATGCCTACGGTACAAATAATGGTCGACAGCCCAAAGGAGCCGCCACGTGGCGATTTCAGCACTGACAGCGGCTATCCAAATGTTGCCTATACGCCGCCTCAGCCGCCGACCATCGATGTGGATGCGCCCATCGATGTCAATGTGCAGGGCGATACATCGCAAGTGTTCTATGACTACAATCCCGAGTCCAATATTGATAATACAAATGATATAGTCCCATTGGAGGAGCAGCCGCAAGCGCCGCCCGATGCTGAAAATAAACAGAGATGACCTTCAGTTAACATGGAAGCGCAGCTGCCACAGCCGGAACAGAAGCAGCACACAGGTAGGATAAGCAGCAGCAGTAGCAGCAGCGAGACGAGCAGCTGCACCAGCAGCGCCAGCAGCAGCACCTCAACAGCTAGCCAGTCAACTGGTGCCGTCGGGCAGCGTCCAAGTTGACAATCTCCAGTCTGAGAGCACATTCAATGTGCGTATGGGCGAGTATTTTTAATTGCTTAGAGCTAGGCACGGGGCGAACGTTTGCCCCTTTGTTATTCTAGTCGATTAATAATTTATATATATATATATATATATATATATATATATATATATATATACATAGTCGCTTTATACGATACTTAAACAGAACTATCCAATGTTTATATCATTCATATATATATATATATATATGTATAAGTCTTGGCAACAGTGCGCTGTGCGTCCAGCCAAGTGTAGCCTAGTCCTAGTCCTAGTCCTAGATTAGTTTACGAAATCAATATAAACTCTGTGTTAACAAAACGTGCATTAACCCGTACAGTGCGTACACGTTGTAATACTCAAATCAAATCAAAACCAAACAAATTAAAACACTAACATTAATGGTAAAATGTAACATTAACATTAACATTAACTTGATATATGATATAGTTATGTATAAATAGGTACTAACTAATTGGTTGGTTTTTCGTTATGTCAGTCTGTCAGTCAGTCAGTCAATCAATCAGTCAGCCAAGTGACCGATTTCGAAGATATTTTAAAGGTTGTTTTTTAATTGATTATACAATACAATACAATACAATACAATACAATACGATACATACGTAGATATATACCTACATACATATTGTAACTAACAATCGCGTCGTAGACTTAGGCCTTTATTCGTAAAGATAGATTTTGTTTTTCTTCAATGCAATAAATACATATATATATATATATATATATATATTAATATATATATGTACTTGTACATATGCCAAAGGAAGTATTTTAAAGCTAATTATATACATACATAACTATTCATAGCAAACATGCGAATTAAAAGAACAAGCATACGTTATTTATAAATATTAGTTAGCGACAATTGAATGAAATATTTACGACAGGTTTTCCCTATTTTCCAAACTCTCTTTCCGTTCGATTAGATTATATATATAATAGCCATACCGAGTGTATAAGTACAAAAAAAATGAGAAGTATTATACGGTAGTTTTTCAATACTCGCATTATTTCTCAAAACAAATTCTAGATGAAGAACAAGAACAACTCAAACTATAGCCAAACAAAGTCAAGTGATTTAGACAAAATTCCAAAACCAAATACAAAAAAGCAATCGAAAACAATTTAAAACAGTGAATAGCTACGGCCCAGTCGGGTATTTGCTTAAACATTTATTCACTCATTAACCCACACTACCATAACATAATCTTTATTCCGTAATACCTATAAACGTACCAAACTTACAGGCAATTTGAGCCGCAGTCCTACCTAAGCCATGTGCATTGTGTACCAGTGAGAACTTTTATTGTACGGAAACTAAACGCTATATCGTGTACTTACCAAATGTTTTTTATTTAGTCTAACTAATTGTGAAATCAAAATTGCATAAATGCTCTTCTATACAAGCTTCCACAAAACATTGATGATATATACATACAATATATACATTAATTATTACTAACTATATTTAAATATATACTTATATTTGTATTCTATTTTATTGGGCCTCGGCCAAGTTTCGAAGAAACTTTCTGTGAGATCAAATGGATTGTGTTTACTTAGCTGCATGCAATCATATATTAAGTTTTAACATCGAACAGTATAACTATCCCCTCTTAACACAGACACTTCTATACTCTAATCTCTAACTTAACAACAGACAATCAGACGGCGATTGATGAAAAATTGAAATTATGGTACCAACTAAATCGTTTTCTCCAAGAACAAAAACAAAGACAAACAAAATAATTAACAAATACAAACAAAGACGTACACACTTGTGATTTTAACTGCAATTTTTACACAAACAAATGAAAAACCTAAGATCATATAACTTTTAATTAGAATTGTTAACAAATTTGCTAAAAATGAATATGAAATGAATAATAATTGTAATATTTAATTGAATACAACAGACAGAAACCAAACACTCGTCAATTAAGTGATATTTATAATTGGTACATAGGCATAAAAACCATTTGCAAGAATTATTATACATGCATACCCATATATATATATATATATATATATATATATATACATAAATATATATATATATATATATGTGTGTATTGTACCATAAAGTAGTTTTTACAATAGAACTCATATTTCGATTTGTACATAAAACAGAAATTATAGCAATAGAAACCAGCAACAACAGTTGAAACCGAAAAAAAAAAACAAAAAAATGAACAAGCTTTAATTTTAATTGTGTCTTTAATATTAAAATAATTGCTTAACTAAAATGTACTCTTTGATTAGGCTGGCATAATCGCGTCTATAGTTAAAAATAAGCCCAAAACACCTAACATTTTATTTAGTCATAGAGTATAACGACAATAAAACGAACGGAGGCATATATTATTAATTAATAGTAAAACGCAACCTGTGCCAGGGGCCAGAGCTTCAAATCCGAACAAATTAACAAAATTAAACAAAAAACCCCACGCTGCAGATCCCAGCAATTATGGGCAGACCCATAGAAGTCCAAAAATCGAACAATGTACCAAACACAGCAGAAGCAAAAAATAACAACAAAAAAAAAAAAACAAAACAGTCCTATGCATTTAACCATAGCTCATAGCACCGCAGTGCAGCGTACCGAACAGGTTCTAAAAAAAAAATATATATATATATAAACAACAATACAACAACAAATGCAAATGCAAATACATGAATTACCTATATATGAAATATTGTATGTGTACATATAGTTAATAACAATTAAGTACAGTACAGCTGGTTTGATTAGGCATGCCTTACAGAATACGAATACACGATTTTATTTGTTGTACATTTAACGCGTTGAGGTTCAAAAAAGTTAACGTTTCATATATATCAAACATAAAGTATATAATAATTTACATAATAACAATAATAATAATAAATAATAAGAGAGGCGGGCATACAAATTGTTTAAACATGCTCTGCAAACAATGTCAATTATTTTTAATTTGCCGCATAAAAGAAAAAATGTTGTTAATGCGTTAAGCGTACAGTTTTTGATATTAGCAATGCGTTTTTAGTCCTCAGCCTAAATATAAACAAATGTAACTTAACTTTAACTTAATAGCCGCATAGCTTCAAATTATAATATATATATTATATTCATAGCTGCGCTCAAAAGAAAAACAAGTAAAAGCAAAAAAAAAAAGATGAAACGGATCAAAGACAAATCAATGGCTACAAAGCAACATTTTTTAGATATCCATAAAACCGATCAGAAACTTCATTATTAGCACATTGTTTATAACAAATTAGTTTTAACCATCTCTCATTTTTTTCAATTGGCCTCGTTAAGAGCCATAATATTGATTTGATTTGATCCGTCACGCTCATAGCCAATCGATTTATATATATATATATACATACTTATGTATTAGTTGGCCAGCTAAAGATCATTAATGATAAGTGTCAGATATTGAACCGAATCATATCAGCAGTTAAAACATAAATCTAACATTCGCAATAAAATATATATTTACTCGGGTAAAGACATTCGTTTATACAATATTTACGGTCTAAATATTATATAATCATTATACTTATACTAAATACTTATGCGTATACTTATCAAAAAGTCAAAATTTATTAACTGATGTCGAACCCAAAAACAGAAAAAACCAATTTTAAACTGAAAACTGAATGTTAGAAAGAATGATATATACATATGATATATCGAAATCAAAGAACCAGAGAATATGTTGAACACATAATTAATTATAAACAATAACAAGCAGAGAGATGAGGGAATAACATTATAAACAATATAGCAAAACAAATTGTTTTCAGTTTTAGTTTTTCAATTGTATATATATAGAGTATATATATATATATATACATATATATATTAGACACATCGTAATAGAGATTATTTGCATTCAGTTAATAGCTCTTAAGGGTTTTGTTAAATTTCATTATATTTATATATTCGTATGTTAATAAAACCATTTCTGACTACAAAGCAAGCAGGACTCGGATGTGGCTGTGGATGATCTCTATATCTATCTAGGCACCGGTATCCGGCAAATCCCTGTTCTGAAGCAGCTGCAGTATGTGCTCCAGCTTCTGTTCCATGTGCTGGAGGCGTCGCTCGTTGATCTGCTCGCGCTGACGCCGCTGCTCCACGCTGGACTTCTGATCGATGACAGCCAGCGCCAGCTTCACGGTGCGATTATCAATCTTGGAACATCGGCCCGTCAGCGCCGAGCAGCTGCAGGGCAGCAGCTTCAATGGCGGATCGAGCAGCTTCTTCTGCTGCTCCGCATTTGTGGCCAGCGGCTGGAAGCTGGCTCGGCTCTTGCCGTTGCCATGGGCATTGCTCAGCTCCTTGAGCTCGTAGGCATCCGTGATGGGTATAAGCACCTTGTTGCCATCATTGGGCAGCACGGAGATCTGGCGCACACACAAATAGTTTGGATAGATGTTCATCAGTCGCTGGCAAATGCTGCGCACGGGCTCTATGTTCACAATGAATCCGGTGCGTCCATTGCGACCCGTCAGCACCTGCTCGTAGCGCGTCAGCGTGTTGGTGCGGCAGATGGCGCCATTGAGCTCCGCCTGAGCCTTGATAGCCTGCAGAGAGTTCGAATTTTGAATTTGGATTTGGAGAATTTATTGTCCGGCTTACCTGCGTATCGGAGACGGCCAGACCGTTGAGCAGATTGAAGAGCACAATGGTCATGAAGAAGACGAACAGCAGGAAGATGAAGTAGGTGTAGATGCTGTCGAACTTGATGTCGCCGGCATCGAACTCGCCCGTCAGCATGACAATGGTCTTGATCAAAGCCTCAATGGGCACCGAGAAGGTATTGAAGTGCCCATCTTCCTCCTTATTCACAGCTGCTGACGGTTCCGAAGCAGGCTGATCGGGCTGATCTTGAGGCTTGCCGAAGAGTATGTAGAAGCACAAACTGAAGGTCAGCACAAAGATCGAGTAGAGGGCAAAGCACTTGCTGAAGCTGCTGGAGACGGCGCGCAGCATGAGCATGTGCGTCGATATGGACAGCACGGGCAGCGAGCCGACCAGCAGACAAAACTCCAGGGCGACCAGCAGTATGGTAAAGACGGCAAGGACGCGTTGCGTCTCCTTATCGTAGCTGGACTCAATACACGTCAGTATGGACAGCACGATGAGCACCAGCTCCATGAGATTGGTCAGAGACCAGAAGTACAGCAGCGGCGCCATCAGGAGCTGTATAATCTCTCGGATAATCAGATAGGCAATGCCCAGCCAGGAGAACAGACCAAAGAGCGCGGTGAGAGCCGTGTGCTCGCTCTCATGGAACTTGAGCAGGGTGTGCGTGATGATGGAGGCCGTGAAGAGCGTGTAGAGCAGAAAGTTGACATAGAATATGACCGAGAGGCGATGCCATTTGAGAAACAAAAAGCTCGAGATCAACGGATGCTGCAGCAAATGACGCAGCTCCTTGGACTTGGCTATATATGCAATCGGTGTCATTTCATCCTCCAGCTGGGAGGCGCGCAGCTTACCCGACTGCGCCGGCGCCGGCTGTTGACGGATCAGGTTCATGTAGTTGATGACAATCTCAAAGTTTTGGGCGCCCGCCTTCTGGGCATTGGTGGTAATGCAGGAGTCAAAGTGCTCCTCGAGCAGCTCCGGCGACATGTCCTGTATGGCCAGCTCGTCGAAGGTGCTCCGGGTGCCAATGTAGGCGCCATGATGGA